ATTGATGGGTTTTGTTTATTGGAGCTGGTAATGTTGTATAGTTCTGTTATTTTGTCAGATGTAACTGGATGGTGAGCCCCTATAACACCTGCCTAGGGGCTGGATGCTGACGTGTCCTTGTATAACCTTTGTACATTTTGTAAGTATAGAAACCATTCCCATGAATTGTTCAGCTTAAACAAGGTAGGAGAGGAAAAGGAGAAATGATGGTAAAATACTAATTAACTTAAATTAACGGTAGTAAATGAAAAATACATGTATCAAATTAACATTTGCAAAACTGCATTTATATTACTAGTTATAAAGATTTTTGACAGGTTATATGGCCCTAGCATATAAACGTCTGTTTGAAAATATATATATATATATATATATATATTGCAAACAATCGTTTAAAACGGTCAAATAACCTGTCTGGAATATTTATAACAAATTTATAATACAGCAAATTTTTAAATTATTTATTTTATTTATAGGCATATATATTGCGGCTTTGACAATGTTTCAAGTTGATGTATATAGTAATGACTGATGAAACCTCATGACTGTCAGTGTATAGTCTATAACCAGTCCAGTAAATGAAAATACTTTGAAAATGCTTCACAATACGCATCATTAATTTCTACTTAATATCTTAACGTTAATCAGGGTTTTTACACCAATTTTAAATCTGTATATTAGGTTATGTAAAGAAAGAAAGAAAGAACCCTGGAAAAATTCCCAGTTTTACCTCTGAAAAATAGTACCCTTGTTTATTATTGGGTATATAAAATGAGAAAAAAAAGAAAGAAACACTGTGGGCTTAGCAAATCTACCTGCCCCAGTTAATAACGCTAAGAATTTTATATTGTAATCTTATCACAATTCTCAGCAAGAAAAAAGGGAATGTCCAAAGTTGTGCATAAGTTGTTAAATGTAAGTATTTTTTTTATTGAAATAAAAAGCATGCAACAAAAATTGTCAGATGTATATTTTTGCTATAGATAAATATGCGACATATTTTCATTCCTTCTCTCAAATGAAGAAAAATTAAATAAATACTGAACTTCAGAAATATGAAATTAGATAATAAAGAACTTGTGGACAAATTGTTGACATTAATTTTAAATGTTCAAAAACTAGTGTTTATGGTTTTTCTCAAGTTAGAAACGTCATGAGTTGATTGTCATGGGAATGGTTTCATGCTGGAGAATAAGGTATGTTTAATATGAGAGTGAAAAGAGAATTAACTACAGTTTACAGACCACTTAAGCCCCAGAAATGCTTTCATTTCTTGAAAGCTTTTTATCTGTTGTCCTATATTATCTATTGTTAAAGTTTCCAAAAAGTTCCTCATTGGCCAATTACCTTAAACATCTTTTATGTCTGTTACTTTTGGTATGGTTAAAGTGATTATTGTCTATGGGAAAATTTTATGACAAATAATTTGACCATCAGCCTTCAGTTGATTAGCATATAGTGTGCTCCAAAACCATTTTTTCAATGTGATAAAACTCAATGTTTAGCCTTTTTAAAGAAGGAAATATTCATTTCTGAAGCTTAATGTCTTGTACTGTAGTTCAATATTACAAATTTTCAAGGTTAATATTACACATTCTAAAATTTATATACTTTTTGTGAATCAACATGTTGTATAAAAGGAAATATGTTTGCCTGTTTTAGTGACTTGTTCGTATTATCTGGTTTTAGACACTTGCAATTTGAAAGATGTGTACTGTGTAATAGAACAATTTTAAGAAATATTGAATGAAAGAACAAAAGATTTTTCTACAGCTTGACAAAGATTTGTGTTTAAGATTTTGCAACAATTGAACTTTTGCATGTGTATTTACAAACTTTAAATTACGGTACTATATTGTGTTAAACTATAAAAAAGTTATTTATTATTTTTAATTCTCTTAAGACTTGAACTGTTTTTCATGTAAGATTGATGTAGTGATTGTAAATTTTGTTTATCGTTTCTTGTCAGAAATAAATATTTTGCAAATAATTTTAAAGTTTTTGTATTTTTACCACTGACCATCGAGTGGAATATTCTATACATGTACTTGTCTCAACATAAGCAGTTTAGTACATTTGTTTGGTAGATCTGGCTTTATTCAGGCGAGGCATAATATCTCCATGGCAATTAGTTTAAACATACTTATTTAAGCTTGATTGTGAAACAAGTTCTTGCAACTTATATTAAACACTTTTGAGTTCGCTTCCTGGAAACAAGCAGTACTGGTGTCATATGAAGAAACATGGTTGTGCCCGATTAGGTCTCGAACCCAGGATTACTGGGTTGAGAGGCAGACACCTTAACCACAAGGTCACAGCTCCCCTTATTACAATTGATCTCGGAGAGTCTGATGACAATTTCTAATTTAGAAATTGTGTAGAATCACTTACATAAAATTGGTAATCATTGGAAAGTAACTGGGGAAAGCCTGTGATAATCTGCCACTTACATAAAAATTGGTTATTACTTGAAAGTAACTCAGGAAAGCCTGTGATCATCTTCAAAAATAATGATAATTTGACTTGTTAACCAGGTTTTCAATTTTGAAAATCCTGGTTATTAGATTGGGGTATGGCGGGCGGATGGGCGGGCGGGCGTCAAACGAAATTGTGTCCGCTCTGTAACTCTTCAACCCTTTGAAGAATTTTGATGAAACTTCAGACAAATGTTTACCACATCAAGATGACGTGCAGAACGCATGTTCCGCATGGCTGGCTCCAAGGTCAAGGTCACAGTGACATTAACATTGAAAATCCTGTCCGCTCTGTAACTCTTCAACCCTTTGAAGAATTTTGATTAAACTTCAGACAAATGTTTACCACATCAAGATGACGTGCAGAACGCATGTTCCGCATGGCTGGCTCCAAGGTCAAGGTCACAGTGACATTAACATTGAAAATCCTGTTTACATGATTTTAACTTGATTTGGCAGTCAAAGGTCATATCATCTTTGGAGGTAATTTAAAAAAGATATGATATATTATTTCATGTCTACTTTGTAACTTGTTTTTCATTATACAGAATTATCAATATAATTATAGTGAACAAATTCTTCTGTGCTGAACTCGTCCTACATTTCTCAACGGATTTTGTTCAAACTTTCACAGAAGCTTTGTCATCAAGCACCCTGGCACATATTGTCGGGGTTTTGTGATTGGATAGTTTTTGACCTAATTATGGCCCTTTGTTTTTTTCCTTATACATAATATTATAGTGAACACTTCTTCAGTGGCAATTCCTCCTACATTATTCATGTTTTACATTGCACATAGTTACATTGTTTGTTGCTTGTATTTGTATTTCAAATACAACATATTTATCTACAATGGTGATAATTGAAAACCTGGTTTCATGGCATTGCCATGTTTCTTGTTTAAAAACTTGTGTCATAGAGTGATAGGGGTATTTGTAATTGCTTTGGTTTGGAGTATTCATGCATTTCGGAAAGATAAGGAATAATCTGATTCTAAAATCCTTTAATCCATGATCCTTTATGAAACCTCCGTTATGTTTTTTACCGACGTCAAAGTGACCTTGGTGAGCATGTTTATATATATTGCCATTATTCTCGAGTTGTACAGACATTGTGGAGGGCTTAAGATGGTCACTCTCCAGCTTTAATGGTAGAGGAAGATACAACTCCTAATTTTGAACTACAGACATTCCATAAGCTTGGTGGCTATCTCATAAAAGCAAGTCCAACTCCTATAGTGAAGAACAACTTAGGGAAACGTTGGTGACGAGGGCAAAGCCATGACTTTGGGTTATTTTAAAGCATTTGATCAGAATATATTGGACATATTTATATTACTTTGTATATGTTAGCTTGACTTAAACCACTTGCCCCTCACCACCGTAGGTTCAAATCCCATCAGGGACTTTGGACTTTCATATGAAGAAGCTTTCCAGCTAGCATACGGAACATCGGTGGTTCTACTTGGGTGCCTCGTAGTGCCTGAAACAATGCATGAATGGGGCACCTAAGGTTTTCCTCCACCAGTATATTTATCATTTATATTGGATAGGGTTATTACCAGAGTTCTCCATTTGAAATTTTTGAAGGTTCTACTAAGAGTCCCATAAGGCACTTCAGCACAGAGTTTGATTCATCTAGATAAATATCCAAAAATAGTTAAATACAATGAATAAGTACAATTTGTACTACATCAACTTGCCCTTCTATGACCCTTTATTATTTACCTTGAATGAAGCAGTCTTGAAAGACCAAACAACAGACCCACTAACAAGTTCAATGCATAATTTAATTGAAAGCAAACTAAGAGCTATATATATATATATGCAAAATTAGCTATATATAAGCTATCTGTATTCTGGAAACACTTTTACCTACTTTAAGTATTATAGTACCTTTCTAGGTAGGAATCATAACTGTACTAGTAAATGAGTTATGTCATACCTATAAGGGACTCCACTGAGGTTTTTTGACAAATTGGGACTAAAAATATTTTTCTGAGATGTGTGTACCATTTATGTACCAGTAGGTCTGAACTTGAAGTGATAATTATACTTTGCGAAAAGAACAGCTTATTGCAGTTTCGAAGATTTAATTTAAATAATGTCCATTAATTTATAAGTGGGTATTCAGACAGTTCAGTTGGAAAAAGCCCTAGATCCACTGTTAGCTCAGCGGTGAGTTTCAATATTTTTCTCTCAATTTTCATTTAAGAAACATATCGGTAAAAAATTGCTGTGCCCTGTGCGGTACCCCAATGTTTGTTCCGTTCCATTCCCCAAAGTATAAATATCTGCAAATGTCCAAAAACAATATCGCTTGATATTTGAAAGGTTTACAAATTTTATGTCTTTAGGCCTTCTGACCTATAGTCAATATTAATGATTAAGTTCTTTCTTTGTGCTTATTTTAACTTACAACACGACATTAAATGTTTAGAAACGGTAGATGGGTAACTATATACAGAGATTAGAATTTTTCAAATTTTAATATAGTATAATCTGTATAGGATAACAAATAAATATCTTTTATATATACATCTATATTTAAAGTTGTGATTTCACAGTTTCAAAAACATTTCACAATGTAAAAATCACAAAACATCATACCAGGGGAGGTAATTTCACTTAAAAATCTCGATTCAACAAAAGAAAAAATTAAGAAACAATAAACTTATTTATCAAATATGTGTCCAACTTGTACAAATGACAAATTTTTCAGTTGTTTACTAATTTACACCTCAAAAATTAAAACCTAAATGCAATATGTACATGAAAATAAATATCACTTTTTGAACGTCCATTTTCCAAGCATCTAACTAATCATCCATAAACTATATTCTAACTTATTGTGTTAAAAATAATGTGAGAAATAAAAATCTTTTGACGTATCCATTGTTTATAATAAACATGATTAAAGAAAGCTTTATTTTCAAGTTTTCTAAATCATAATTATGGCTATGCAGTAATATTTTCTACATAGAAAAACACCACAATCATTGTATTAATAAATCACTATAGAGAACAAGTTCATTAACATGTACAAACAAATTCAATAAATAATATTCAAATATCACAGACTTAGAATAAAGAGTATACAAATATGAATCCTTCACTAAATTTCTCTGAAAAGAAATATGTGTATCTTCAGGTAACTTAATGGTTAATATTAGTGCAAATTCTATACAATGATTCAAATATCACAGACATGAAAAGAGACGGAAAATATTCATCAAGTTTCCATGAAGAGAGATATATTTCTATCAGGTTACTGATCTGGAATCATTATTTCACACCTTATAAAATATTGACCAATGAACTTAAAGCATATAAACCAAGTGATATTCCAGTATAATTCATGACTGGATCCAACCAAAGCCTGGTATCCATTTCTACAGTCCAAACAATCTGTATCAAATGCATAACATACCCATTATAGCTTCATTTTCAGTGCAAAATATCTATATCAAATGCATATCATACTCCATCTATCATTATTTTCATTCTAAAAATTTATATAATTAATAAACTATTTTTATTATCCATGAAGTAACAAAGTTCTGTAAAATGTCAAAAGATGGTGGTGTGAAATAAAGAGGTCATTATACATTGTTGAGAACAATACTTAATTCTATTAGACTTGTACACAGCTGCAAAACCTGTATCAGACTTGGCAAGCAATTTGTCTATTATAACAAAAATAATCTTAAAATAAATATGCTACAGCTGAGAGGTACATTTTTTAAAATCAATCTTTAGGACCATAAAATTGAGTTTATAACATGTCTAAATAACAGAAAATATAATAATCTAAGATACAAAAATCAAATTCTCCGAGCTTGATCTTAAACTTGTTTCATTCTGTTTAAAAAATCTACAACAACTAAAAACAAAAGAATTCATTTAACTATAGCAACTAACAATATGTAAAGTTTTCATGTTTCTATCTTCCTCCATAAATATAAGGCCCATTTCACATTTAAAATGTAAATTTCTTATAATGTTAAATCTCAGTCTTTAAGCGATTGTAAACCCTAATTTTGTAGAGGGTATCATTCGAGGTAGTTCTGGGATGGAAATCTTACTACTCTCATCTTTTTCACTACTCATATGAAAATCATCTGAATAACTGCCATCACTTATTAAAGACAAAATATTTTCCGACTCTGAAGGCACATACGAGCTAACAGATTCAGTGTGGATAGATTCCTTCTTGAACTCAAGTCTTCTTTCTCGCAAATGCTTTCTTGGTCGAGGTGATGGATTTTTAGGGCTACCTTGTGATGACCTTGACCTCGGAGTATCTGTCGGAGTGGGACGAGCATTCATACTGTCGACTCTAAGCTGCTGTGACCGTCTAACAGCAGGAAGAGGTGACTGCTTTGATGCCTTTGGGTTTAATACCTCAAACTTCATTGAAAGTAAGCCTGTGTTAGTGTTAGTTAATGCAGGACTTGGTGATCGCACTGATCTATCTGTAGCTGGTGTAGGTAGAGTGTCTGTTTTCTCATCTTCGCTGATCAGTTTCTGTAGTTCCGGTTCATCGGTTGAATGGAACTGTTTTGTGTCATAGTCTTCCGTAGATTTAAATAATGACTCTCCGGTGTATGGGTCCCGTTTAAATTGTTTTGACATTCTGGTAGACTCTAATGGAGAGTCATCATCAATTGTAGTATTCATAGAAGATTTACCATCTCTTGCAATAGATTCCGGTAAGGTCTCATCGCCTACAATATATATATTTGTAGCATTTAGTCATTCGTATATTATAATTATAAATATTTTTATTTTAACAGAAATACATATATAGTTATCAAAAGGAGTCAGATAAGTGCATTTCAAGTTAACCTTTAAAGGTTTTATTAGATCCCTTTTCATAAACATAACACAAAGCAGAAGTTAAAATAAATTTAATTCAAATTAATCACAGATCAGGAAATCTGCTCAAAATCATTTGTTATGTTTGTTTAATTAATGCTATACAGTCATTAAAAAAACATGCAGTAGCTCATGTGATGTTTAATTTTGTACACACATTATTATATGTTCCATAAGTACCTGTCAATTTCTTCCCTACATTATACATATGAAGCAGTGGTTCTAAGTGATAAAAATACTAGTTTAAATATGATACCTTCATTAAACCCTGGGAACATGTATTTCTTCTCTTTTCTATCTGTGGCGGTTTCTTCCTCAAAGCTATCACTAAATGTGTTTTCATCATCATCACTCTCATTGGCTCGGGCACTTGGAATATGAACCTACAATAGTGTAATTCTATTGATTTATTCAGGGAAATATACGGAAACACATACTTTATTGTCACATATATCAACATATACAAAAATATAATTATAAAATTAGGTAAAATGTTTTGTTACCCTAGGATTGCTCATTAAGCTAAACAATAATTTTCAATGAGGTCCAATTACATGTATTATAATATTAACACACCAAATTATAGAATGATAAATAAATTATAATGAAGTTAAAATAAGTAAATTAATTTTGCCAACATTGTACTGCAATTAAGACACATTTATCGATATGATGAGACAAATACATTGCATTCAATTAAACTAAAATAAATTCTGTATAAACTAAAATACAACATCAACATGTAAAACATTATCATATAAGCCACAAATTAATTTAAAGGCAAGTCATTGTGTTATAATTTTCTGATTCAATAAAATATTTTCATGAACATATATTTGTATATTTATCTATTAAAATTGTCATGAATTTTAAAGCATCTCATTTTGAGTATTAAGTTTATTTACAGGGTAAGCACTGCTGGTAAAAATTGTAAAATGGTCAACATTTTCCAAAGACTGGCATCTTTATTACGACTCTTTTACAGACACTAGTGAGAAATAGCCTCTTAACCCAACTTACAATATAATACATATATGTAGTTTTGATCATGTTTTGAAAACATTCAGGTAGATTTTATTTTTTGTTGAAGTTAATAATCTAATAAAATATGCAAATCTAATGAAATCTGCATATAATATTGTATCCCATTCAAATGTTTACCTCTAATCTTGAACTTGGTACACTATCAGCAGCAGAGTCCAGTTTGTCACCTGGTGCCATATCTGGGGAGGCAATTTCTCTAGCATCAGAATCAAGATGCACAGCTTGGTCCCTACCTTCACTATCAATATCAGTATCCTCTCGAACTTGTACAGTCCCCTGCGAAAACAGTAATTGTATGCTACTTTTCAAAATTCTAGGTTAAAAGTAAGGAAATAGCACTATTAATTAAAACAGATGTAGTTCTTAAAGCAGTGATCTAAGTTCAATAAATTTAGATAAAGCTGCTTCTACGTTTTAAGGCCTGCAGACATACATATGCTGTAAAATGATTGTGATATGCTGGAAAAAAATGATTCTCGAAAGCTTACTTACAACTAAGTCTTGTAATAATTTGTTAAGTTAAACAATATTTCAAATGATGAATTCATAATCAAAGACAAATAAAATCTTGATGAACCATTGATCGATTTTCATCATTTTTTGGACTCCAAGATGAAATTTATTGAAACTTATGGACTTTTTACATTTTCTTTGAGAAAATGCATATATAACAGATTACTTCTTACCTTCAGGTCCTTTGGCTTTCTGCCCTTTGGTGATTTACTTCTTGACTGCTTTCCTTTAACTGGAGAGTTATCACGTGATTTACTCAATTTCTTTTTCGACTTCTTCACCCTCGGGTCCTCTGTCATCAGCTGACTCTTCCCTAGTGTTGCCTTAGCAAGTTCAGCAGCTGCTAGTCTCCTGACTTCAGTATATGTATCAGATAAGTTTCCTGTATCACCTTCAAAGTCTGGTTCTTTCAGAGTTTTAGCAACTTTTTGTTGCTGCTTTAGAGCTTTTGAAGCTTTCTCCTCTTGCTCAGCAGATTGCAACCAAGTCGGATTTTGTTTGGCAAGCCTCAGTCTTTGCGTATTAGTTAAACCAAAGACCAGTTTTGTTTTCTTAATGCCAGCTTCAGGTGCTTTTCTTATCCAACCTTTGTTTTTTGTAACATTCTCTGATGGACGGGCAGCTGACTTAATTTTTTTTCCCTTCTTTTTATTTGAAACATTGGATATATTCTCATCCACCTCTGGTATATCATAGATATTTTCTTCTGACTTACTTTTTAACACTTTAACTGGGGCTTGGGATGTTTTTTGGACAGGTTCAGCAATATTTCTCACTTGATTCACTTGTTGCATGGCCTGATTTACAAACTGAGGATTCTGTATCTTAGACAACTCTGTCAATAGGGCAGTTAGTAATGGAAACACTGGTTCTGCCATATTCAGACCTGGAACATTCCCTTGTTGACTTGACTGATCAGCATTTTTAATATTGCTTATTACAATAGTCTTTGCATCCTTTAGCTTAGGAGCTTCCTTAACAATATTCGATGTAGGAATAACATCTTTTTCTTTCATTTTTGCTTCATTTGATTCAACTTTTTCAAAATGTTCATCACCAGATAAATCTTCTAATGTAGCATCATCAAATGTGCTTGAGTAGCCCAAGTAAGCATTTACATCTCTATCTATCTGTACATCAGGTTCAGCTTTACTATTATAAAATAGTGGAGGAGGGCAATTAATATTTGGGTTGATTAAAATGCCATCATCTTCATCACTATCCTCTGCTTGAATCTGAAATTCTTCCGTCCTTTTAGGTAGAACTTTATGTCGCCTCTCAGTTTGTGTTTCTATTGTTTTGGATGACTTTGTTTCAACCTTAGCTGAAACTTCAACATGGAATTTTTCATTTTCCATCTCAACTGTTTGCATTAATGCATCACGCTTTTCAACATCTGTCATTGAACCCATTTCTCTAGTGCTGTTAAGATTTTCTCTCTGCTTATTGACAGGTTTTTGACTTTGAATAGGTTTAGCAACAGCTTGCACTACCTCTTCTTCTTTGATTTCCATTATTTCATCTATCACAGATTGTTGTACTTCACCTTTATTCCTTTCAGATGCTCTTTTAACTAAAGCAGTGGCCGGTAAGTGTGCTATTAACCCGGGGCCTAAACTTAATAACCTGAATCCTAGGATCATGTAGCCTATCTCTTTCCCCATCAGACTGTAGATTTTGAAAAGTCCTTTGTCACCATGTACTGAAGGTACAGTATGCCCATTCTTTCTTATGTCAGTTTTAATAAAGTCAATAACTTCATTCAATGCGAGCGAGCTGTTTCCTAGCAATTTTGGTACATCCGGGTACTCATCAATAACCATTATATATAATGGAGTATTTGATAAATGCATAGCTAGTGTGTCTAGTGATATTTTAAAAAGACAAGATTTTCCTTTTTTTAACATAAAATTTCCTTGTTTATCTTGTAATTCAGCAAACTGGTTTGGGAGTCTGTAGTATGGATCTCTATTAATCTTAGCTTTGATGCTGTCTGATAGCTCTTTTTCCACATGGCTTATAAGTATGGTAGGAAAATCAAGTAGTCTAAATGCAACAGCGGGAAACCTACAGGTCACATAAGGCAAGTAAAGTTTTTCAACCACAAGTTCCAAAGAAAACAGAGACTCTTGTGAACTCGCCATTGTCTTTTATCTTGCAGTTAACAACAACCAATAAGAATACTCTTTAAACAACCTGTGTCAGATAAAACTATTGCATTTCACAAGTTATAGAGTATTTTCTGCAGGACTATGACATTTCCCATTTAAAAGTTGAATCATAATTATCTTCCATGTCCAAACATATCCAAGTTATTCGGGTTTCTCTGTTGTTTTCCTTGTAAAATAATACTAGACTGGTTCTCAATCTTTAACCGAGTAATAAAGCGTAAAGTTGTTTAATGTAGCAACATTAACTGTAAAAAGGCGTAATGAGAAATTTTCACATAATTTAACATTTACTACAAAATAATTGACTTTAAATACAGGATTTATTTTCATCGATTGGATTGGTGGTAGCCACGAGTAAAATGTGATAATTTTCATAGCATAAGATGGAAATAAATCCTTTTTTAACAGAAAAAAACTTGAATTTTCTGTTTATTATACTGTATATACTGATACATTTTTCTCTTTTTGACATCACAGTTTGAAATATGTTTCACTGCAGCTGGGACATAAGATCTTCTGTCCCAGACTGCAGTGAAAATATGGAAAATATGCTTCACTGCACTGAAAAACGGAAAATGAAAATACGCATTTTGTTTCATTAATATTTTTCAATATTTATATTCAGTCTGTTTCACTGTACATAGTTAAATTGACAGTGAACCCCTTTGCCAAATATCCCTTTGCCAAATATGTTCCTTTTACCAATGTATTGAAACTGCCTTTACATGTATGTATGTATGTGTGTATGTGTGTATGTGTGTGTGTGTGTGTGTGTATGTATGTAGTATGTATGTATGTATGTATGTATGTATGTATGTATGTATGTATGTATGTTTGTGCGTGCGTGCGTGCGTGTATGTATGTACATGTATGTATGTATGTCGATTTAGCCAGCCGGCATATATTTGTAATAAATTCGTATGACTCAAAGGTGTGGAGAGAAAACTGAAGCAAGATATATCCAAGAGTCATGTGGCAACTGCCAAACAATAATTATCTAAACAATCAAATATAATAGTTATCAAACCGATAAAAGTAGCAACAATGCATTATTCTACTGTCTTAAAAAATTATTGCTTACAAAATAATTTAGAAAGTTAAACTAACTAACTTGAAACAAAATATATGCAAGCTATATATTTATTACCAACTGAATACACCAATTATGTGGCAACTGCATCGATGCATACATTTGTCACCTGACCACCGGCGATTCAGTTATGGGTGACATGTTAGAATGATTGTATTGTTACTAAATAGTTAACATGAAATATATTGTGGATAACGGAACTTAAGATCATGGATTAACATATGGATTATAATTAATCATACAATTTCAATGGTTTTTATTGATAGTTTCCAATAATGATATATGATACAGGCTCCCGGAGATTAATAATAAATCACAAAGACACTTACAACATAATAACTACTCTATATAATTATGTAATGCATGCATGTATATGTTTCTAAATTATGTTTAAATTAAATCAGTTGGCAGGGCAAGTATATATGGACGGGTAAACAAATATTTCATTTTCGTGACCTTATTTAAAAACACTTCTAAGTAAGCATTTTACTTTTTGTATGAGTTACTGACATTATGTGCTTTGCAGATTGATGTAACTTGTTTCATTAATATGGAATGACCCCAGTAAGATTAAACATTTATTTATTAGATAGATCTACTTGTGATTTGTTATTCTCTTTGATTGAAGAGTTTGATGAAAATTGTAGTTCTATAGTTGTGTCAATGAACTCGATTTATAATAGAATAAATCTATTATATTTGTTTAGGTCCGTTTCAAGAATTTCTTAGCATAACATGCATTTCCCAAGAAAGGAGTTGTAAAATGTATTAACCCCGAGATAAAACGTACATGGCTTCCCGACGGCAGTTGAAACCCGGTCTCCTGATTAACATTCATGATCTTAATGTCAAACAAACAATACATGTAACAAGAAAGGAAACATATAGGAACTTCTATTTAAGTATATTAAAGACAATTGTCATTGAGACTTTCAAATGTATGCACAATATCTCTCCTGATTACATTAAAAAACCTGGTCATTTTAAGACCTCTGCAGGTACACTCATATACAAGAGCCCCGAGGTGCCTGCAGTACGAATATATATATAAATGTTTGTTTTGAGCTAATCTAGATTCTTTTTTTTAAATGATTGTATATTCTTTTATCGTGCATGTGTTCTGTAATCTTCGTAATTTTTACAATTGTAAGGTGGCGAGTATCCCCGCCTGTCACGCGGGAGACCGGTGTTCAACCCGTCGGGGACCCGATTTATAGTTGCGAGGTTCTGTTTAGAATGCCAATAAATGATGTTTCAGTACATGCACGTATGTATTTAACCAGGTACTCGAAGAACCTACAACAAATGAAAACAATGTCTATTATTGTTTTACTTGTTATAGGTGCTTCTTAGTACCTGATTAAGTTAAGGTCGTTCTAAATAAAACCCCACCACCTATGTATATGCACCCGACGGTTAATAAAATAAGCTACACCCTCTGCCAGCCTATCATGTACAGTAGAGAAAAACAGAATCCCTACAGAAAGCCTAACGTACACGGCAAAATTGAAAATGTTGCAGGCTCGGTTTGATTGAGCCTGTTAATGGTAAGTGCAAATTACCGTCCACGCCCCCAAGCACCGGCTTAAGCAGAATTAAACATTTAAACACGAAAATGGTGAAATTTTGAATTTAGAAACATCCGCAGATGTGTTCATACGGCGGTTATCATGGAACCTTCAATAAGACACAGTTGTGCCATTCCTTGAAAAGCAGCGTATGGTCCCACAAATAAAAGAATGCGTGTGTCCTAAACGAGAAAACATTGAGCGGAACAAAATAAAATGGAATTTTGAAAGGGGATCTGAGGTTATAAAGCCTGCATATCACAGACAAGACGTCAAAAGACAATTTAAAAAGCAGGCAACATATCCTAAGGGTGATTATAAAGTAATCAAGTAGGAATACTGGAACCGCCCAAGTTGAAAAAGGCTAAACAGAAGAAACTAAAAATACCACATAACATGTATACACAACAATTTTGTCGTGCTGATCTTCAAGGATAGAAAATATAACATCTTTGATTTAATCTACGGGGAGACTTTTTACAGCCGCCACACGGCACAAATAACACTGATGTGACCATAAAATAGAGAAAAACAGAATCCCTACAGAAAGCCCAACACGGCAAAATTGAAAATATTGCAGGCTCAGTTTGATTGAGCCTGTTCGCGGACGGTACTGGTAAGTGCAAATTACCGTCCATGCCCCCTAGCACCGGTAACTTAAACACGAAAATGGTGAAATTTTGAATATAGAAACATCTGCAGTGTTACATGTATGTGTTAATGAAGTTCTCATGTTTATTTCCCTTTTACCTGTTTAGGCAATGTGCAGATTGAATGTATACTAATGAGTAATTTTAAGTATCAATCATTTGAAAAAGAAAATATCTTGGACTACGTTATCAAAAAGTATACGTACTGAAAAAATGAAGACATATACCTTCAGTCGAAGTATGAGAAAGTGAAAATTAATGACATCCATTCCTTTGAAAATTGCTAAATTAACTCATTGTATCAGCTACTGATGCTTACTGCATGAATTCCGAAAGGAATGGTTAAACTACGTTTACGCTGTAAGAATATCAAATACCCCAGTAGTGCCTCTTATTAATACAGGGGCGTGGTTTACGACTTTAAATAGGTTATGTTTACGTACAAACGTACGGCGCTAAAGATCTATTTAATAAACATTTTCATGCAGTGTTGCCTCCACTAATAAATTTTAAAATATGACTGATTATCGAAAACATGTCAATGAATTGAGATTCTTATTCAAAGTAAGTAAAGCGAGTGTTTTCAGGTTAAGTCAATATTAAGTCAATATTTTGTTAATTGGTTAATTGTTGACATTTCTGAAACAGAGATATCTGTCATGCGTCATTCAAGTAACATTCGTAAAATAATTTAAATCAAAACGATAGTTATCATTTAAATCTCTATAATCGAAGTCTTAAGAAAATCATTTGATAGTTTAAATACAAAAAAGTGTAAAAGTATGATATAATACCGGTAGTTAAATGCCGATGTTTTATATATGCGCTATTTGTGGCATGGTCGGTCACAGCAACAATACTGTAAAAATAATAATCTCTATACTTTTGCCAACGTCCATGATTGAGAATACTACAGAAAAGGGTTTTTCTTTTTAAAAAATTTTTGCTTTTTTTTGATAAAAAGGATCTTTTTTCCAAAAAAATTAAATTTATCATGCGTTTTTCTTTTTTTGGAAACTCGATGTTAAGTGGTATTGCGTATTTTAGCCTGTTGCTAGTTGCTTTAAAACCCAAAAAGGGTTACAAACCTTTAGTGGGTTTTTGGGCGCCTAAAAATTTATTTTTTAATTTATAAAAACGTTTTTTTTGCAAAATTTTTTAACCCTTTAATCGTTGCTTTTGAATTTTTTTAAATTTTTATTTTAATTTAAACCCGTTTTTTCCCAAAATCCCACGGTGTGCGCGGCTTTATGTAAAAAATAATTTACTAGGTTGTATAAATGGGGTACACAAGGGGGAAATGAAAAATTTTTCAACTGAGTAGTCTGTTAAATGAATATAAAATATTTTTTCTTTTTTCATACTGTCTAAAAAGAAAAAAAACCCCAAACCTTTTTTTTTGGAACTGAAAAAGTGGGACACGGGGATATTAATATGGTAAAGGTTGGAGAAAATTTTAATTAAATATTAAATTTTACATTTTTTTCTTTATACCTCCCTTTGTAAAAAAGCAGGGGAAAATTAAAAATTTTTTTATTTAAAAACTTTTTCAAATATTTTTACATTAAAAAATTTTGGGTTATTGTGATAAAAAAACATCCGTATTAAATGTAAAAAATTTACTCTTTAGTGATTTTAAAAAATTAAAAAAATAATTAAAAAATTTTTTCATGATAATCGATGTATAAAGTTTTTTGTATTACTTTTAAAATTGTAGGCACTCAAAAATTACCTTATGAAAAACGTTTATTTTTAAAGATATTTTTCAAGTCCCTTTGTAATGACATAATCTAAAAGTGACTAGTGTAATTTATTTCCGAATCATCATGCACATCATTATCACACTGCTTACTTTAGCTTTCCTGAAATCTTGACATTAGATACTGATATATAAAAAACATAGAGATCAACATAAAAAATAAATATATTATTTCACAACATTAGACAAACAGTATACAGTAATTGCAGAGAAGATCATTTGAAAATATTAAGGCCTTCTTTTTTTAAAAAACAAAATTTATCTGAACAACTTGTCATGCAAGTACTTCTGGATAACTCAAACACACACAGGTGCTGATTTTTTTTAAATATTGTATCAAATAATTCTTCTGTCTACGGAAAAAATAGGAACATATAATTTTGTTTTTTATTGTTGAATTAAAAAGAAATTAAATGATGTGATTTGGATTGCTTTATATTCGAATTGCCTACACATACTGTACTTTAATAATTTGCAGATGAAGACAAATATATTCCGGAGTCGGACGATGCAGTACCCATACAATCTATTCCAATGAGTTTACGTTGTGTAAAGTGTCTGGTTTAATGCTAGAAATATTGTCTTCGTGAAGTGTGGACACTTTATTGTTTTGCATTTTTTTTTTTACAGTTTGTGCCAGATTTTTGCTACGCCTGTCCTTGCGGGTGAAAAAGTAAAGGCGTATCTACCCGTGAAATACGAATAAACACGGAAAGAAAAATTTGAAATGGAATGCCATCATATATTGGGATTCTGGAGCTTACTAGTGTATGCACCTGGAAAATGAACCATCTAAACTATGACTGACAATAGCTGATTTTTTTATATAGTTTGTTTTTCATGGAATAATACAATATTTGGAATTTTGTTGCTGGAGTGACAATGTTTTTTTTTTTCATTTTTTTTTTTTTTTGTGTGCATTATTTATGTATTTTTTTATATAAAAAACAAACAAACAAAAAAACAACATTTCATTTGATCAGTTTAAAGCATTATTACCATAACTTTTTTAAGAATATATTTCAACTATATTGATTCAAACATCTGAAAATCATAAATTCATAAGAGTAAACCTTCATATTCTGACAATTCCAAGATGTATCATTGTTTCTTTTCCAAGTGCAAAACACATATATAATTATTTACAATATCCTTAGAGACAAAAGACTGTGCCATCCACAACTGGAAATAAATCATATTTTACTACTTATAATTATTCACACAGTTTTTGTTAGGTTTATAATTTCTAAAAAAAAAAAACACTATATTTTAGGTCCCATATACACTTATTCTGATTTTTTTAGTGTTATAGCATATAAACATCCATTTTTTTTTTTCAAAAATTTTTCCCAATAATGTTTTTTTCCCTTTTTTCACAAAATAAACATTTTTTCTTTTTTCCTGTTTTTTTCGACCCTTTCGGGGGGGGGGGGGGGGGGGGGGGGGGGCCTTTTCTTTTTTTTTTTTATTTTTTTTTTCTTTTATTTTTGTTTTTTTTTTTTTTTTTCATTTTTTTTTTTTTTTTTTTTTTTTTTTTTTTTTTTTCTTTTAAAATAAAAAAAATTTTATAAAAATTTTTTTGTTTTTACTTTTTTATCTTTGGGGACCTTTTGCAAAATTTTGCCCTTTTTTCTAAAAGGGGAAGAAGGGGGGCTCAAAACCCCAAGAAAGATTTAGTTTTTAAAATTTTTAAATTTTTTTTAAAAGCTCGTTTTTGTGAAAAAGTTTTTTAAGTTTTTTTAATATTTTTTTTCATTTTAAATTTTTTGGGGCCCGGGGTTTTTTTTTTTTTTTTTTCCTGGAAAAAAACCCTTTTATTTGTTTTGGTTCAATTTTTAAGGAATTTGGCCCTTTTTGGGCACAGAAACAAAGATTTTAAATGGAACTTTTTTTGGGTTTTTGAATTTGGGTTAAAATTTAAAATGAAGTTTTGGGTTTAAAAATAGACATTCGGGGTTTGGGAAAAAAAAGGCAAAAAAAATTTTGGGGAAAAAAACTTAACCTTTTTAATTTTAAACCCAAACAAAATTTTTGAAAATTTTGGGGGGTTTTTGAAAATTTTTTAGGGCGATTCGGATCGGGAAATCGAATGACCCGGGTTAAATTTTTCCAAGAATTTTATTCAGGTACATCGTTTTAAAAACCCAGGGAAAGGGTTTCATCTATGTTCAAAAAAACGAAAGGAAACATACTTCTAAAGACGAAATCGTCGCTTGAATTACATCTATTGATTCATGTTATTGTAAATAGCTAAATATCGTCTTGTATTTGTATTGAAAAATTCGGATCCGATGAAAACGTGGACACTTGAAAATTCTCAACAAATATCATATTTGTTTTTATTCCTTCCGGGGGATTTCCAGTTTCTAGATTTTTATACTTTTATATATATTTATAAACATTTCGAGGAGTAAAGAAACTCCCAAATCAATTACAATATAGTTAAGATTTAAATGCAATTTTCTGCTCACGTCTTCTTTATTAACCGATACAATTTACATGTATTATGCAGAGATCGGTAGTGTTGTTTTTTGTTGTTAATCCTCTGGATCACGACCGTAAGTCACTTTGAATTCACAACTGAGAGCACAGTTTAGCAAATTTAAAGTTCTTAAAAGAGACTGTAAAGGGATTTACCATACTTTCTGCTTTACTTGTGCAATTTAAAATAAAATTTAAAATATAATGATATGCCAAAAGCAAAAAGACCGTGAAAAATTTTTCATGATCAAATCCCAAACGAATTGACCCGCACCGTCCCGGAAAAGACACGGGGGGGGGCCATATTTGTCGCCCAATTATTGTTCAAAGTTCTATATTAAAAAATTAGCTAACGGCCCAAAAGCTCCGCAGGGGGATATTTGGCCCCGTTTTTGGTCCGTTTAGTGCCCCTTTTGGGGTTTCCGTTGGCCCCTTTGGGGATTGTTGGGGGTTTCTTTCCCGTGAAGTTTTTCTCATTCTTTTTCTTTTTTTTTTTTTAGGGTCAAAAAACTTAAAATGGTTTTTCAAAAATTTAAATTTTTTTTTTAATTCCCCCTGTTTTTTTCCGTTTAGGGCACATGCATTCCTTTGCTTGGGAACCATACAGCGCTTTTCATTGAATGACACGAACGTGTCACATGATAACCGCCGTTTAATTTTATTACATGCTTTTCGATGGTTTATAGAAATATATCAGTGATATAAAACTGGTAATTTCACTGTTTGAAACAGTGAAATTACCACTTTGATAATTTCACTGTTTTGAATTTAAGCCCCTTACGTTGTTTCAGTGAAATACCAGCGTGCACAATACTGGGTGTAGTAAGCAAGTCTACAAGATATAATAAGCCACGCCTTTAATATCAAATATCGTTATTGTTACTGTGTGTATGTTTACTTGATGTTTGGGAGTTTATGAGTGTATACTTGGATGCAACACATATAATAAAATATATAAACCATCCTTCGGGTCTTGTTTAGTTTGTGTGTTAGTAAGCCATCCAAATAGAAAATATAAATGTTACATTGGCGACGAGGATGGGATATTAAAAAAAACTGTGGATTAATTTAAACTGACTCTATGAAAAAAAAAGCAGATTTGAAAATGGATAATTTACCTGCTTTTCCGAAATTCGATGTTTTTACTGATGAAAATTCTCTGGGAGTACGATGGGAAAAGTATTTGGATAAATTAGAAAACTTATTTGTTGGACTGGGTATAAACACTAGAAAACGAAAAAAAAGCACTGTTACTTCATTATGCAGGAGATGATGTTTACGATATCTATGATACATTGAATTTAAAAGAAGACAATGAAAACTACGAGGAAACGAAAATTGGATTAACAACATACTTTAAGCCAAGAAAAAACACACAATTCGAAATATTCCAATTTCGTAATATGAAGCAGTTGCATGGGGAATCTATCGACCAGTTTACAACAAGATTACGCCAGAAAGCTAAGAATTGTGAATTTTCGGACATTGACTCAGAAATTAAAAGCCAGATCATACAGGGTGTTATTTCACAAAACATGAGAATGCAGTGTTTACAAGATCCGGATAAATCACTTAATGACTTACTTACAAAAATGAGAACCATGGAAATATCAAAAACTCAAGCAGCAAATATGTCAAAGGATACACGTAGTCAGCAAGTAGTGCGAATAAAAAGCAATCCTCGATTTAGCCGTCAATCAAAGGGATTCGCACCTAAACGTTATCAGCAACGTTCATATCAAACTATCCCAGAAGCAAGTTCGTCGTCGGGAAGGCGAAACTACCCTCCAGAACGAAATAAAAAATGCCGAAATTGTGGAGGAAAGTATCCCCATATGTCACGTTGTCCTGCTATCGGAGCAGAATGTAACTACTGTCATAAGAAGAATCATTTCATATCGGTCTGCAGAAAACGTCAAAACAAAGTGAAATTAATCGATGATAACCAGTCGGATTCACAAGTTTTAGCAGAGGCAAGCACGCCGAGTACCAGTTCAAATGAGCGCGATGTGTTATTTGGATTTAAGATATCAGATGGAAAAAAAGTGCCAAAGAAATGCATTAAATTAAATGGCGTAGATGTTAAGGTGTTGATAGATAGCGGTTCATCGTTAAATATTATTCGCGAAATCGACCTCGAGAAAATGAAAATTCGTCCAGAAATCAAGAAAACGAAAACAAAAGCATTCGCATTCGGGCAGAAATCTCCACTTCCATTCATAGGCAAATGTTCCCTGCTTGTGGAGTCGGACTCAAAATTTATGACAAAAGATTTCCATATCGTTAAAGGCAACAAAGAATCATTGATCAGTTATGAAGTATCGGTAGAGCTTGGGATTTTACCGCAAATACAATCAGTTCATAAATCAGTTCATAACAAAGACGCATATTCAGGACTTATTGAAGAATATTCTCAAGTTTTCACAGGCTTAGGATGTTTGAAAGACAGAAAAGTTAAGTTTCATATTGATGAGAGTGTTGTACCTGTAGCTCAACCGCCTAGGAGAGTTCCATTTCATGTACGTGCGCAAGTCGAAAAGGAACTGAAAAGTTTAGAGGAAATGGATGTCATTGAAAAGGTTATAGGTTTACCGACACCATGGGTTTCGAACTTAGTAGCGGCTCCGAAACCTAATGCTCCGCACGAAGTGAGAGTGTGCGTGGATATGAGAAAAGCTAACACCGCAATCAAAACAGAGAAAAATGTTTGCCCGACGGTAGATGATATCATCTTGACGTTAAACGGCGCAACGGTATTTTCACGTCTAGATCTGTACAAAGCTTTCCATCAAATTGAATTGGATGAAGCATCACGTGTAATGACAACGTTTCAGACACATATTGGACTGTTTCGGTATAAACGTCTAAATTTCGGGGTGTCCGCAGCACCGATAATTTTCCAAAACGAGCTTCGTCAAGCACTTCAAGGTCTTAAAGGCATATTGAATATTGCCGACGACATCGTATGTTTCGGTAAGACACATGAGGAACACGATGCTAATCTTCGCGCTTTACTGCAACGTATTCAAGATCGAAACCTCACACTGAACAGCCAAAAATGTTTATTCGGACAATCTAAAATCAAGTTCTACGGATACGTATTTTCCGAATCCGGAATTTCACCCGATCCTGACAAAGTAAATGCAGTGAAAAAAATGGACAGACCAAAATCAATATCCGAAATTCGTTCATTTCTAGGTCTCACGAACTATTTGTCTAAGTTCATAGATGGCTATTCAAGCTTAACAGAACCATTAAGACGACTTACACATAAAGGTGTAAAATTTGAATGGACTGCCGACCAAGAAAAATCGTTCACATCATTAAAAGATACCTTAATTAGTGATAAGGTCATGACATATTTCGATCCTAGAAAGGAAACTGAACTCTGGGTCGACGGAAGTCCAGTTGGATGCTCAGGAATACTTATTCAAAACGGCAAAATAGTATCATATGGAAGCAAAGCATACAATTCGGTTCAGACGCGATATTCTCAAACAGAAAGAGAAGCTTTGAGTGCTGTCATCATGATTCAGCATTTCCATTTGTATTTATTCGGCAAGAAGTTTAAACTGATAACAGATCATGCTGCACTTCAATCAATCTTCAACAATATCAAGACAATACAGTCACCAAGATTAGAACGTTGGCGTTTGAAGTTGACAACGTATGATTTCCAGACAGTTTATAGACCAGGTAAAATGATGATATCAGATTATCTTTCCAGGCATCCACATGCAAGACACGAAACAAATACAGTAGCCGAGCAGTATATCAGCTTTATTACTGATAACGCTTTGCCAGATGCATTGAAGCTGTCAGATGTAGCAAAAGCTACCGAAACGGACTGTATATTAAGGTGTGTAAGAAATGAGTTAGAACAAAATGACTGGAAAACTCAAAAATGCAAATTAGATGAAAGTTTTCGGTTATACGAAAATTTGAATAAAAATCAAGAACTTGCAGTTGCATATACGGAAGATGGATTTGTGTTTTTACGGGGTACAAAACTTTGCATACCAGAATGTCTGCAAAAACAAACTGTTATGCTTTCGCATGAAGGTCACCAAGGCCAATCAAAATGCAAAGGATTATTACGTGAATATTGCTGGTTTCCACATATGGATAGAATGGTGGACGAAATGTGTAGATCATGCATTGTATGCCAAGCTGCATCAACAAGAATTATTCCAGATCCGATCAAACCAACATTACTACCACGAGATGTGTTTTCTGAAGTCAGTTGTGACTTTTGTGGACCATTTCCAGACGGTTACATGTTACTAGTTGTTATATGTGACTACAGTAGATTTCCAGTAGTTGAAAGAATCAAATCGACAGCCGCAGATACAGTCATACCGCGATTAGAGGCGATATTCTCGATATTCGGATATCCAGAGGTAGTGAAAACGGACAATGGACCTCCGTTTCAAAGTCGCGCATTCAAAGAATTTGCTGATAATTCGGGATTCAAACATAAACGAATCACTCCATTGCATCCACAGGCCAATGTTTGTTTGTTTGTTTGTTTCATTTTACGCCTTTTTCAACAGTATTTCAGTCATATAGGCGGGTAGTTTCCTAACCATCGTTCCTGGAGAGTTACACCAGTACAGGCCAATGGAATAGTTGAGAGCTTTATGGCGCCACTGCAAAAAGCAATTAAAACAGCGATAGCGTCGAGACAAGATTATAAAAGAGCGTTAAGTAGATATCTTATGAATTTTCGGAACACACCACAAACAATTACACAAACAGCTCCTAGTGAATTGATGTTCAATCGTAAATTAAAGACAAAATTACCAAAAATGACATTTGACAACAAAAACACAGATATTCGAGACAGGGACAGTCTATCAAAAGCGAAAAACAAAATATACGTTGATAAGAAACGTCGAGCTCAGCCAAATAATTTGAAACTGGGAGATCGTGTGCTATTAAAACGGGAACAACGGAATAAGTTTGAAACAGCGTTTGACCCTACCCCCGGAGTAATCATTGCTATGAAAGGATCTATGCTGACAATCAAACATAAAGGAAAAGAAATCACACGGGACGTTTCCAAATTAAGATATGTTCATGGAGATCAAGAGCCGGTGCAGACGAAACCTGCAGATGATACATCTTTACCTAGAAATAGGCCGCAGAGGAAACGCCGACCGCCGAGACGTTATGAAGATTAAAAAAAAAAGAGAGAAAGAAAATGGTTTAATCTATGATACCATTTCTCGTTACAGCTATAAGGGTTAATGACTCAAATGTGTGGGCCATAATAATGCCCTAATTATATTTGCTATCATAGCAGTGTATCATTTATATCCGCTTGCTGGATTTATTAATCTTAGGAAAAATGATAGTGTATGTGAGAACATTCTGTTATTCGTGAAATTAATACTTTTGGTTTTTATTAAATTACCTTATAATTGGTTTTTGTGTGGTAGAACGGAAAAACAAATCATTCTTTTGATAGCAATGCTAGTTGTTAGAACAAATGTTGTGATAATAATGTAATTTGCTTGATATTTTGTGACATTCCGAAAAATAGAAAAGATATGACAATTAACAATAACATTATATTTATCATTACTTCGTTGAAACAGATGCCTAGTAAACTGATTAGAGTAAATCACATTGGTTAATACACTCTGCTGAAAAAGGAGAAGAGTTTATAACAATAGACTTGCTATATAGTTTATCTATACGAAAAGAAAAATATTTCCTATTGCACATTTAAATTTAAAGTTTTGATAATTTAAGTTTATTGATTTTATTGATGAGTTCTAAACTAAAGATAGAGGAGGATGTAGTAAGCAAGTCTACAAGATATAATAAGCCACGCCTTTAATATCAAATATCGTTATTGTTACTGTGTGTATGTTTACTTGATGTTTGGGAGTTTATGAGTGTATACTTGGATGCAACACATATAATAAAATATATAAACCATCCTTCGGGTCTTGTTTAGTTTGTGTGTTAGTAAGCCATCCAAATAGAAAATATAAATGTTACACTGGGTACCAACTTAATGACGTGACGTCGTAAATAACGTCACGTTGTATTATTATTTGGCGCGCTTTTCGTTCAGTATTAGGTTTAATGTCTTTTTAAAACGTTTCTTTGCATACAACAAAAAGAAAATTTGTTTAGTTTAGTGTAAGATCGTAATATATTTCACCTTGTGAACACCAAAAGTTCATATTTCACTCGTGGCTGCGCCACTCGTGAAATATACCTTTTGGTGCTCACTCGGTGAAATATATTCCGATCTTACACTGAACTAAACAAATATCCTCTATATACTCGTAAGAGTATATGCGTATGTTTCATAATTCAAGTTTGCTTAAATGTTGATTTCTGGTGAAGACGGTGCTAAAATAGCTTGCAATTACTGTTACCAATTATGAATGAGCTTGCATCATTTTCAAATTTTGCCGTGTCTGGCGTTCTTTAGGGATTCCGTTTTTTCCTGTATGTTTATAATCGAGTACTACGAATAGTTTTGTATTTTTGATTGGATGTTACGTCGCACCAACACAGTATAGGTCGTATGGCGACTTTTCAGCTTTAATGGTGGATGAAGACCACATGTGTCTTTCTGAGCCTTAATTTTCTGATACAAACGTGAGCCTGAATAGAATCTCTGAATTCTCTAAGACGAATCCAACTGTAAATTAATTTAATTTGGTTTAATTTTCAAAATGGTAGCTAGTTAACATAAGATTAATTCGACGATTGGTCAAGGCAATTTTAAATTTATAACACTAGTACTTGTTCTGATTGGAATATGAGTTATAATGTCATATGTGTTTAGTTAGCTAGGACAGAGAACGTTTGGAAGATAAGAACGCAATATATTATTATTCATTTTACATTTTCTCAGTCAACTTAATTTTGTTTGTTTTGGGTTTAGGATAGGTCATAGCGCGACGTTTCAGCTTTACTGGTGGAGGAAGACCTCAGGTGCCATTCCGTGCATTATTTCAGGCACGAACGGGCACCTGAGTAGAACCACCGACGTTCCGTAAGCTAGCTGGATAGCTTCCTCACATGAAAGAATCCAAAGTCCCTGTCGGGATTCGAACCCACAGCGGTGAGGGGCAAGTGGTTTGAAGTCAACGACCTTAACTACTCTGCCACGGACGCCCCTAACTTAATTTGTGTTTACTTGTTCTGATTTCTAAATAACTTAAAGTTCATTGACAAAATAGAGAGAAATAAGAGAAATAAAGAATCCTCAACGAACGAACAACACGACAAAACTCAAAATGTTGCAGGCTCGGCGTGTATGTTGCAGGCTTCATATTTGATAGAGCCTGTTCATGGGTGGTTTTGGAAAGTGCATATTACCGTCCACACCCCCCCCCCCTGGCACCGGCTTAAGCAGAATTCAACATTTAATCATGGTAATGGTGAAATTTTTAATTTAGAAACATCCGCAGGTGTATTTATACGGTGGTTATCATGGAGCCAATGTGACACGTAAATGCCATTCCGTGATAAGCGGCGTATGGTCCCCAACTAAAAAATGCTCTTCAGTAGCGACTCCATCCAAACATATCTCAACAATTTGCAACTCGACTAAAGGAAACCCAGACAGTCTACTGGACTGGCATATTCGGTATGATAGTATGCACTTTCAACATATTCGCTGAATACTAATACATTCAATGTTCTTTTTTGTTTCCACTACACTATCGCTACACTGGTTGTATCATCTACGAATGTTTCTAAATTCATATTTTCACCATTTTCATGTTTAAATGTTGAATTCTGCTTAAGCCGGGCATGGTCGGTAGCTTGCAATTACTACTTACGTTCGTGAACAGGCTAAATCAAACCGAGCCTGCAACATTTTCAATTCGTCGGTTTTGGCTTTTTCTAGGGAATCCGTTTTTTTCTATCCTGAGCTGCGATGATATCACTCAGCACTGTACGTCTCGACTGAAGGAACAACAGTTCCGGAAAATAGAGAAAAACGGAATCCCTTAAGAACGCCCAAAACGACAAAATTTAAAATGTTGCAGGCTCGGTTTCATTAAGCCTGTTCATGGACGGTACGGAAACTGCAAGTTACCGTCCACGTCCCTTAAAGTTTTAATAACAAGATATGACACTTTTTTTTTGTTTTTCACTTGTCTTCTCCTTTTGCATAGTATCTGACGTGTACGGAACTGCCAAGTTACTTTATAGTCGGACTCTTTTGTAATCATTGTTGAATACAATAAAATACAAACAAATTGTCTTTTCATGTCATGAAGAAATAAAAAAATACATCAGTTTCAAACATTTCTGCGTACCACCTTGCTTCAGTCAAAGAATCACTCAGACATGCTCATTATACACAATACCTGCGAGCGAATACCAAAGACTGCAACAAATCCAACCATCTGCGTAACTATGAATTCCGTGTTCGCTAATTTTTTTTGGAACTGTAGGAAACCCATATCGTCTGACGGACCCGCATTTTCGACGCGAAAAAAAACCCAACAACATTTTAAACTGTGTATAACTTTATAAAAACCAAATATTAGAATCCAAGAATTATTGTTTTTGCATGTACTGTAAGCTCTAGCAACTCTTACGATGCCTCTCTCAGCATTAATTTAGCGGCTCAACTGAAGAAAACTTCGACCATCTGACGGACTATCAAAACAAAACATGCCCACTCCCAACGAGGGATTGCCTTTCAGGGTTGATGTATCAGAATTGCGGGCATCAGAATTGCAGTCACAAATCCCTGCGTGCTTGTAGGAGGCGATTAAGTTTCAAATAACTGGAGTCTCTGCATCTCTAGGCGCGAGCAGGTTAACCGGAATTATCGTTCGTGTTTCGGCGCAATTTGACCTAAATTGTGCTAGTCAGCCGTAAAATAAACAAACAAAACAAAACAAAATCAAAAATATGCACTTATTAAAACCGAGTTTGCAACATTTTACAATTTTTCCGTGTTGGGCTTTCCTTAGGGATTCTGTTTTTCTCTATTTCAAGAGATTCGCTTATAAGCACTTACAAATCTTCTTTCTGTCACAAAATTGCTGAAACGGGCTCATTGAACGCCGCCTTTCTTTGTTGATCTTGTTTGTCATTTTTTTTTGCGTCACAGCTGGCAGTATCGGTGTTTGGACACCCCGCCACTATAATTTAGATAGTGGAATTTTTTTTTAATAATTTTATCTGTGGTTTTGTATTTGGTACCTTAGTCTTAGAGTGTTGAATTATTATTTTTTCAAGGTTGTAGTAGGGGTCCAATGGCAGATAGTGGTGGGGTGTCCAAACACCGATATATAATGCCACCTGTGGCTTGCGTCGGGAAAATCTTATATTAGCGTGTGCTATGGGCTCAATCGAGATTAGTGTCAGCACTTTTCGACTCGACTGCACAACACCCGTACAGTCTGACGTATTTTCGGCGCGAATGCAGGCATTTCAAAAAGTGGGTCATTTTAATATCATTCTGATTCCGCCGATATCTTCTTGTTTCCGCCACAGAATCGCAGAAACTTGCTAGTGCCTGAAAAAAAAATCACGGACCTGTTTTTTCGGCGCAGATAGAGACAGTGTATAATTTTTGTAATATTTGTTTTTTTTTCAAATCGGTCTTTCGGGATTAATATCTGGAAAAAATGTCTCCGTGGAAAGCTAAAAATTACATGAAAATTATAGACTCACGCCCCCCTAGAACCGACTTAAGCGGTAATCAATTTGAAACATTTAAAAGTGCTGGAATAATAGATCCCGAAGGACTAGAAAAATATAGCAACATTGAAGCGCAGAAAATATAGTTGCATGTATTGTAGTATCAAGCGATTACAACGAGGCCGGTTGCAGGACTATGTGGATTTACTGCAAGACCCCCCCCCCCCCCTGAGAGAATCGCATTTGTATATTCGACGCAAATCTGCACTTTCTACAGATTCGCTTTATTGATGTATTAGCCATAGCTTCTTGTTTCCATCACACAATTGTCCTTACTGGTTCTATGTCATTCATTTTTGCATTTTGTAAAAGAATACATGCAATTTAAACAGTTGTAATAGTTGTCAGGTTCTATGAGAATCAATGCTCAACACAGAGACCAAACCATCACAAAATTGTCTTGACTCAATAGTAGATCTATAAAATGTTGCCATATAAAGATGTTGGACTAAACAACAACAATAAATACAATTCCATTCAATGCTTT